ACTTCCAAGTAGCACTCTAGGCTGCCTCCTCTAGACTCTATGGTATTTATTTAGTTATTTATCATTCCACTTTATATCCCGCTCGAATCCCTTATGCAGGGGTCTCTGAGCGGCTTTACAAGTCGGTGCTAATCACCATTTTCAATATCCTAACTAGGGCCACAGGTTCTACGCGGGGTGGGACAACCTACCGGGCACCCCTATGGTGGTGGTTGGTGTTGTTCTCGTCGGCGGTTTTTCTGGCGGGGTGCTCCTCATGGCGCTCAGTGGAACTGTTTCTCCTGCAGCGCGTGGCTCCGCCTTCTTCCGGCCTCAGCAACGTCCCTTCCGGCTCCGCTGGGCCAGCGCTCGGCGTTCTCGCGCGCCCCTTCTTTGACGGCAGCCACTCCAATGTCCTTGCTTCTTCGGCCGCCAGGGACTGCTCCTCCGGCTGCACTCGCTCGCCGTTGCTGCCGCATCGCCACGCCACGCCGTCCGCACCGGAACTGGTGCCTCGCCGCCATCGCTGCCGTTGCAACCATCACCAGGCAGGGTGCCCCCCACCCTACTAAGGGTGGGTACCCATTTATCTACTTGCAATTACGTTGCTTTCGAACCGCTGGGTAGGCGGGAGCTGGGACAAGGGAGCTGGGACAAGGGTTTACCGAAGAAACTAGGGGAAAATCCTACAGCATCACTATGTGGGGGCCATTTGTCCTCCCATTCCTCAATTCCTTTGGGATGGGAGCAGGTAATCCACCCACCCACCCCCCGGCTAGTAAACGGGAGGCCTAATGGCGGCTTCCCATATTGCTGGCAAAACCATTTACCCGATTTCCCCACCTGCAGGAAACAGGCCCCAATCTTTGCCCTGTGTCCCACCGTCGCCACAGCACCCACCTTGACCATCTCCTCCGTTTCCTTCTCCTTGAAAAACCACTCGGTGAAGGCCTCGGCCACCGTCTCGCTCCGCTTCTTGCAAGAGATGCACGTGATCTTGAAGGTTTTGCCCAGCACGGCTTCTGTGTGCGAGTCCACCTCCACACAGCCCCCCTGGCATAACGACACTGCAAGAGGAGGGCAGGAAAGATGTTACCTGGGCATAGGGAGGAAGGTAGTTGTGAATTCCCTGCGTCGTGCAGGGGGTTGGACTAGATGACCCTTAAGGCCCCTTCCAGTTCTATGTTTCAACCTACAAAGGGAAAAACAAACTCCTTGCCTGTGTCAAGTGTGAGCAATTCTATCCTGTATTCTCTCTCACACCGGCTTTCCCCCCCCCCTCCCCGATGAGGCTTTGCACAGCTGCATGACAGGCAGAAATCCCACTGGTTTTGGTTTACATTTTGTTTGCATTCCCTCCCCCCCCAGAAGAGGATGGTAAAACTAAACAGCAGTCCAGGGGCTGCTGCTGGAGACCAACAAAGTTCACCCCAGCATTCATGAGTCGGAGCCCACTGCATTTGACTAAGTGAACTCTGAGTCACAATCAGCTTACACCAAAGCAAAAGGTGTTAGTCTTGGTGCCCCTGTAAGTCATGGCCTAGGAGTATTCTTAATGGGGTGGGGAAAGCTTCACCAGTTGAATTTCTGCCTTTCATTCACCTGTTAGAAACACAAGGCCTTCTGCAGGGAAAAGCGAATCACCCCTTTTCTAATAACTCATTTAGCTCTGACCTGGATGGTCCAGGCTATAGCCCAATCTTGTCAGATCTCAGAAGCTAAGCAGGGTTGGTCCTAGTTAGTAGAAGAAGAAGAAGAAGAAAGAAGAAAGAAGAAGACAGAAGGAGGAGGAGGAGGAGGAGATTGGATTTATACCCCACCCTTCACTACCCGAAGGAGACTCAGAGTGGCTCACTATCCCTTTCCCTTCCCCTCCCCACAACAGACACCCTGTGAGGTAGGTGGGACTGAGAGAGCTCTTTCAAGGACTGATCCTCAAAGAACAGCTCTGAAAGAACTTGTGACTGACCCAAGGTCACACCAGCAGCTGCATGTGGAGGAGTGGGAAACAAACCCGGTTCTCCCAGATTAGAGTCTGCCACTCTTAACTACTACACCAAACTGGCATTTAGATGGGAGACCACCAGGAACTCCAGGGTTGCTATGCAGAGGCAGGCAATGGTAAACCACCTCTGTTTGCCTCTTCCCTCAAAAACCTCAAGGGGTCGCCACAAGTCAGCTGTCACTTGATGCCAATTTACACCACCCCATTTCTGCTCGACATACCTGTTCATAGATGACATGATTTACACAGAGCCTAAACAGAAAGGGGTTCTAATTCATCAAGGAAGGATGTTGGGACTGTGGGGCCATCGTATTATTTATTGATTTTAAAACGTTCACATCCTGCTTTTACTTTTAAAACTCCCAAAGTGCCTTCCATGCATCAATCCAGAATTATTATTTTTTTTAAAAACACACCCTACAATATGGCAATAAAAACTCAGCAAGTCATAAATATCAAGCCCCATTAAGAAAAGCAAGTGAAGTTGAGCAAGAATCTACTGCTAGAAGCAAATGTTACAACGGGCCTGGGAAGGAGACAGGAGGATAGATGGGATTCCTCTTCCATCTCTCAAATTCCAGAATAAGCAAAAGGGAGATTTCTTTCTTCCTTTCATTTATATCCTCTCCTCCATTTTATCCTCACAACAACCCTGTGAGGTAGGTTAGGTCGACAGTGTGTGACTGGCCCACGGTCACCCAGCGAGCTTCCATGGCATGAGTGAAGATTCGAACCTGGGATTTCCCAGATCCTGTTCCGACACTTTAACTGCTGCACCACGGCAGCTCTCTGTGAATACAGAGCAAATATGTGTAGTGGTTAGACTGTCGGATCTGGGCGACCCAGGTTCGAATCCCCCCCACTCTACCATGGGTGTTCGCTGGGCGACCTCGGGCTGGCTGCTTTCTCTCACCTAACGAGCCTCACCCAGGGTTGTTTTGAGGATAAAACTGAGGAAGTCAGAATGATGCTGTAATTCAATCAGAGTGCCTGCTGGGGAGAAAAGCCAGGTACATGTTTCTGAATTAAGCAATTCACTGCCAGAAGAGGCGGTGGTGCCCATGAGGTCTGACGGCCTTTCAAAGGGACTGGACGTGTTCACGGGTGACAGGTCTCATCGCTGGCTATGGGCCATGACAGCTAAATGGACCCTTCATGTGCACAGTTCAGAACCTGAAGCTGGGGTAATCGACGGGGAGGAATACTGCCTTCGTTCTGGGATTGCACCCTTCCCCGAGGCATTTGACTAACCACTGTTAGACGGCTGGGGTGGACGGGCCCTCTCTCTGATCCAAGCAGGTGGTTCTCATGTTCCAAGCAGAGAGGATGCAGCTTAATCTACAGTGGAGTCCAAGGAGGCGTGAAGAGAGATCAGCCGGTGTCATCAGCAGTTGGAATCTCACTCCCCCCCCCTCCCCGGGGGGCTCACGGAAGCAGCTGTCTCCCAGGCTTTCTGGAGTGTGGGTGGAGCAGCCTGGCCAATTGGACGTGGACGACTCCCAGAATATCCCGGGCGCTGGGAATCGTGGCAGAAAGGGCTCCCAGACAATGCCATCCAAAGCACACTCTTCCAAGCCCAATTGACTCCAACAGAGATAGGAGGGCAGGCCCGTAGTTACAGCAGGGGCATTTGGGGGCCCTGCCCCTTTAACTGAAAGCCCTGCCCCACAAACAGCCATGCCAGAAACCTTATTTTTGAGAAGAGACCCTCCCCACGCTGCCTGTCACTCATTCCCACGAGCCCTTGGGAAACATGCAAATTAATTAAACGCCCTCTGAGCTGTTTCCCCCCCTAGAAACTGAAATGCTCGCTGCCCTGTCCCTTGAAAGGAAGGGCTAGAAACAGGCACGGAGCTTTCCCCTTTAAAGACAGGCATTCAGAGGAATTTAACTGCCCCCCCCGCACCCAAATTTAAATGCCCCTGAACAAAAATATCCTAGCTACGGACCTGTAAGAAGGAAGTCGGTCTGCTGAGAACTGCACCATCCAGAATCACAGCGTCGGGAGGGGCCAGGCAGGCCACCTCATCCCACCCCCTGGTCAGTGCAGGATCAGCCTAGAGCATCCCTACCAAGGGCTTGTTGAGAGACTGCTTGAAGACTGCCGGTGAGGGGAGCTCACCACCTCCCTAGGCAGCCCAATTCCACTGCTGAACTACGCTATTTAAAAAATTCTAATACCTTTCCATCCAACAGGAAGAGTTCCCTGCCCTCCTCTAAGTGACAGCCCTTCGAATACTTAGAGAACGTAATCCTGCTCCCCCACTCAGCCTCCTCTTCCCCAGACTGAACCTTCCCAAGTCCCTCGGCCTTTCCTCGCAGGGCTTGGCCTCCAGGCCCCTGATCATCCTCGTCGCTCTCCTCTGCACCCGCTTCGTTCTGTCCACATCCTTTTTGAAGAGAGGCCTCCAGAACTGCACACAATACTCCAGGTGCGGCCTGACCAATGCAGTGTACAGCGGGACAATGACACCTTGCCATCTGGCCTCTGTTGACCTGGGGGGAAATGCCATCCTCTGCCCCTCTGTGTTTCCCCAGCTCGCGATTCGGGGCAGACCTCGGATTCCCCCTCCACGCCTTCCCACAAAGTACCGGCTGGTGCCAATGAAAGCAGCCCAGCGAGGTTTGCCAGGGCCAGCTCTGACTAATGCAGCCACAGCGTGCGTTGCCAGCGCCCACCGGCTCCTTAACCCGCCATAACCCCACGCATGGAGCTTCGCTTGTGGTTGGCAGGTGGGGAGGGGCACGGACACAGCAGTGCTCCCAGAATGCTTTGGGAGGGCTGGAAGAGGGCCCAGTGGGGCAAGAGGACTTGGAGAAGGAACGAGGGAAGGCGCTGGGAGAAAGGGTTCCCACGACAGCCAGAGACATTCTTGCCCAGAAGCAAAGGGGGGGGGGGGATACAACTGAAACAAAAAATACATGTTTGTTTGGACTCCTCTCGACCCAAAGAGATGTCCAACATTCTTCTCATCTCCATTATATCCTCACAGTGACCTTGTCCAGTAGCGTGGTAGCCAACTTACGGTGACCCCGTAGGGTTCTCAAGGCAAGAGAAAAACAAGGGATGGTTTGCCATTGATCTGCCTCTGTGTGGCAACTCTAGACTTCCTTGGACGTCCCTCGTCCAAGTAGTAATCGGGGCCGACTTTGCTTAGCGTCCAAGATCTCACGAGATCAGGCAAGCCTGGGCCATTCAGGTTTACCCTCAGAGAAATAGATTGGCAGGGTGGAGATTCAAACCCAGTTCTCCAAAATCCTAGTTTGGTGCTCTAGCATAGCACACCGGGTCTATAAAACCACCCAAGCCTCAAAGCATGTCCTAAGGACCATCCTGGGCTGGTTCCATTGACATGGCTCACACAGGGTCAGAGGCTGTGAGCCCTGGGCTAAGAGACAAGGGCCAAGAGACCGTAACCCAAACACAAGTGTGTCAACTACCTGCAAGAGAAGGAGAGGAGGAGGAAAGCCGGTTTTATATCTTGCTCTTCACTACCCGGAGCGGCTTACAATCACCTTTCCTTCCTCTCCTCACAACAGATACCCTGTGAGGTAGGTGGGGCTGAGAGAGCTCTTTCGAGGACTCTGAGAGAACGATGACTGACCCAAGGTCACCCAGCTGGCTGCATGTGGAGGAGTAGGGAATCAAACCCGGTTCTCCCAGATTAGAGTCCTCGGCCCTTAACCACTATACCACACTGGCTCTCAGCTCTTGGCCCAGGCCTTATCCAGCTGGCTCAGCTATGCCCAGTTTCCCTCCCCTTCTCCTCATCTTTTGAAATTATTTCTCTCAGCTTCTTCTACCCGCGGAAGTTTTCCTCTAGTCCTGCATATTCATTACTTAGGGGGGAGTGAGCCCTTTCAAAATGGTGATTCAGCCGATGCGGCAGATGAGATGGTTGTAACCCGTTCGGGACCCGTAAAACAGAATGCAATCTGTCAAGTTAATGCACATCCACTGTACCCATTGCAAAGATAGTAGCCATTTATAGATAAATGCTTGTTAAAATCCCACACAGCCATTCTTTATGGGGCTGGGGTTGCCAACCTCCAGGTGGGGCC